TATCAGCCGCAACGGACCGATCATACCCATAACCTGATTGATAAACCCTCTAGTAACCATAGAAAATCATTCAAATCTATCTGTGTATGCAGTAGTCAACGAATAACGATGGACAGGCCCATTCTACGCTACACGAACCTAAGACGTGGGCGGCAACCAACGATCACTAATCGAACTTCGCCACCTACAATCCAGCGCCAAAAATCTTCCCCTGCGGCTGTTTGCGATGAGAGGACTTGCCGTTTCCGCGGACGTCGACAAGTTACGCACACGGCAAAGCGTTAAAACATGATTAGTCATACAAGTGGAGTGCCGTTGGCACAACTCCTTTCTCTGTAGTATCGAACTGCAGTGTCGTCTCACTCGAATTCTAGAAGTGCTATCTCGTCTGCACTCAGACGAGATTGGTGGTTGGATGACCACCTACGCGTCACACTTTCGTAGCGTGCGTGTGTGAACCGTAACGCAGGACATCCAAGTAAGCTCGGGATCGACTAGGTGAGTAATAATTGCACGACATACTTCACGACGCACAGTGGATTCAGGGCAGGGAATGTCAGTAAGGCAGACCTAGCTTGAGCGGAGGCTGAGTAATTTATTAAGAAATAAATCGTGTGACAGTGTATGGGTGAAGAGTAAAGCAAATTGCTACTTTAGTATTTGGATTTATTTTTGGAATTACTTGTGCTGGCAAAGTTTATGGGGTTATTCATATTGGTTTCATTATTCTATGGACCTCAGGAGTCCCTTCCCATACCCTTCACAGACGCATAAGTACATATCCCCAATTATTCCAGAGGAAACCTAGAATATAAAGTTTGCACATCATAAGAAGGGCGAGCGTACAGTTCTGTCCGGAAGTATTAAAGAAGATCTGGGTGTGTGGATGACCACGAATCTAATGCCGTCAGAACACTGTAGGAAGATGGTTCAGAAAACAACTAGTACCTTCACGTGAATTTAAAGTATTTCTCCCCTTCAAACTCTTCGAGAGACTTTTTGGTGTCTTTGTAAAACCCCATTTGGAGTAGGGAATGCCAGAAGTTTCATCGAACAGGTGCAGCGCGGAGCAACGAAGAAGGTCGATGGCCTTAAGCATTTCTCTTATCAAGAGAGGCTGAACTTGCTTGGCTTAATTTCTTTCTCTTATAGGCAGCTAAATTGTAGTCTACTCCGGACATTCCGGATTGTTCGTGGCCAAAGGTATTCACTAAGAACGGAGAACTCTTTTGATTTTGCCCATACAAACCAATTACGCATCAAGAGTGAACGCAAGCAGTTAAAACGAAGGAAAATCTCGCTTAGTCGGCGGGTTGTCCAACCATAGAACTGGCTTCTAAGTGAGATCGTGACGGCCTTCACGATTTGCATGTTTAAAACAAAACTCGCTCGCCTGATTTTCGACAGAAACCGGCTTTTACAACAAGACTTCTCACAGCCAGCTCTGTAAAACACTTTGTCAAACACAATCTTTACGTACTGATTTACAGTGGACAGATGAGCTTCTTTGTCATTACAATTGTACTGTGATCCGATCACACTGTAAATGTCCACAGATTTTTGAGTGCGAATCTGTGAAAGTATTGTACATAAACAGGGTCATCAAGGGTTATGCCTCTAACTTTATATGGGAAAATATATTTTATTAATTTATTTCTGAAGGAAGTCAAAATACGTCTTAAGTCATTTAGTATTCAGGATTATGGGAAAAGATCTTATTTCTTCAGGACACAAAGGTGCGATCGCTGGAAAAAGAAATTTATCGGCCTGACGTTTCGGCTTCTCACTCGAACCCATCATCAGAGACACTCGCAAATAACGTTTGTTGGGGCACAAGGAGTGCAATAATTATAACGCGCAGCCGCCGTAGAATCATACGCATACTATGGTCAGCAGCCCTCGCCATCACCACTGGAGTCTTGAGTAATGCGACAACGGCTTGTCAGACCGCGTTCGAGTCGTTAATGGCCGCGATTTCGTCTCCTGTGCTGGTGTGGTGTGGCAGAGCAACAATTTCAAGACTGAGACGAGCGAGATCGCTTCAGCAGCAACGTGAAGACGTCAGATCAGGATCAAGGTCGAAAAAGCGACAGGTTATCTCGGAGGTAGGGATTCTCCAAGGGAGAGAGGAGCGGTTTTTCATGAAGGCGGTGTGGTCTCTAATCAGCAAAGTTAAGATATCAGCGGTATGGAGTTTTGCACCAAAAACGACTCAGGGACCTTCACTTTAGTTTATTACCAAGAGGACCGGAGATCCATGTTCAGACACAATGAGGGGGAACCGGAGGTGGCCGGATGAGGGACGAGGAGTTGACGAACTGAAAGGGCCAGAGGCAAGGACACAGTATGCGACCGCACTCGGGTCATTGTGTTATACGGTCCCCTGGCCTTTTTATAAATAACGCTTCCGCGCTCTCGTAACTAGGTGGGGAACGAGAAGCTGACGATCTAAAAAGGACAGACAGAATTATTGGGCTGATCGTCACAGAGTGTAGGATAGACCGTACTGATTTAAGCGCCAGCATCGATTAAAATAAATCTACCACTCCCTTTGCCGCAAACATAGAGAGTTGGAGCGTCAAGGGTTACCAGCTTGATTTATTTTCTTGACTTTAGGGCCTAACCGTTGCTTTCAACGACCCTGCTTGGAAGTCAAGAAGTAGTGAGGGATCCATTGACGGTCCATAAAGCCAAATGCACTGTGATGCCAACAGGTAGTGTCCGCACTTCGAGGAGGGGACTGGGCTTGCCGAGAAGCTGGTCCATATGAACTCCAGGACGAAAGGCAAACTGACGGTGCCTGAAGAAAAGCCAAAGTTTGGGACGCTTTCTCTGGCTGGGGCTTTATATGACAGGTAGAGGCTGGTGGAGATGTCGAAAAGGATAGCAAATGACAGTGACTCATTGGTCGAGCATCTACTCTGACCGGGGATCATTTGATAAAGTTTTAAGCAGAGAGAGGAACTGAATCGGATGCTATACTGTCTATTGTTTCCAGTTGCACTCTGCCCTGTTACTACGTCCTAATTAGTCCGTCCGGTAAGAGAAGACTGATGTTCGCAGATGTCATCTGACGTTCGTGTGAAATGGTCAACAATAACACGACTGGCAAATAAAAGTCAGAAACAGAGCCTGGAAGAAAAGAACCACGTCTGAAAGCGAGAGAAGCAGAAGCATCGGCGGGCCAGAGTTTAAGAAGTCAGCGGTGAACGACAGTCATTCGAGCGCTCAGCGAGATCGAGGGCATCCACTGCAGGGGGTGCATGTGGACGCGATGCTATCGTCCGGCTAGTCGAGCCAGAGAACTGGGTTCACACGGTAAATTAAATGTGCTAGCACCTGGTGCGCAGATATGAATAGATTTGCTGCCTGTCTGCGACCAAATGTCAGTGCGGAACAGCCCCAAAGTCATCGACCTACGGTGTTTGCTCCTCATTCTTCGATTGTAGCCAACGAACAACTGTAAAGATGGTCAGAAGGAGAACCGGTCAACAGAGCCTCCCTTACTCGACAATTGAGGCAATTTGACTTTGAGCTGCACATAGACGCAGGTGAAATCGTTCGATAGAAGCGAACATGCGAGTCCTAGGACGCTGTTCCGATGAAGAAGATGCGATTACTGGAACAAGAAATTTATTGGCCTGACGTTCCGGATTCTCCCTCGAAATCGCCATCAGAAACAGTCACAGACAGGCGTATTGGAGGCATAAGAAGTACCGTATTTATAGTACGTATCTGCCGTGGGACCACATGCGTACTATTCTATACAGCTCTTGTGATCGCCGTTTGGGGTCGTAATTGACGCTATGATGACTCGTCAGTCCGCGTCCGCGTAGTTGATCGCCGCGACTCATCATCCGTGTTGGATGTGGGCGTAATGATTACTCCGTCATTTGGCTCACCCGTATCTTTTCCATGTGACTGCTTCCCCTCCACAGGGAATGCCTTAGCACCGAATATGAACTCTGTTACCGTATCAACAGTCTTATTTGTTGGACCTCAAGGCATTTAATTCACTAAGGTGGTCGCGTTGCTTTTGAAATAAATAGTTGAAATGTGTCATGAATAAAATCAGGGGAACCTAAGTGTTCATTTCGGTCGATTTAATCTTGACATCCTTTAGGCTGACAGAGGTGTTAGCCAAACATCAGTGAATCATGACGACCATGCTACTCATTGTATCTCAGGCGGCTCGCCTTGGTTATCTTGGCAGAATGATTGTCGTCTGACTTTGTGCGTCTTCGGTAGCTCGGAGTGGACTTAAAAGAATCTGAGTCATGTAATGAGGACGGAAAAATTGAGGCTTATTCAGAATAACCCTTGTTCATTGGGTAAGTCCTATTGACATCGGGCATGCATATGCACATACATTCAAACAAGATTTTTCGCATACTTGAATGACGAATAATCCGGGCGAGGGGGGAGGGGTCCATACACTCCCTGACCTATCATCCTACAGTGAAAAGGTAATTTGAGGGTTTGCAGGAGCTGCAATGATTAATTACAGGCGAACTGATAATTCTTGCCTCTTTTAGGGGAATAATCCGTGTGAGCGAGCATTTGAAAAATTCAAGCTGGTTCTGAACGCCTCTTCCTGACCCTATAACATCGCGGTCCTTTTTTGTCGAATAGTCAAAAACTGGGAGGAGGTGATAGGGTTTGCCGGCAAGCAGGTGAAAAAAGGCCAGGGACGGTAAGGTGCCACGCAGCATGGGATTTCGACTCCAACGTATTTCCTCCGACACTTGCGTCCATGCCAGCTGAGTGGTCACTTTTGGAGACGTGCGTACTGTCGTTCAAAATTTCCGCCACCAGAAATGCAAGTGCCGCATTTGTACAGACGACCACAGGAACAGTGTTTAGCTCGCGTGAGCTGCATAGATACGACGTAGGAGAAGGCCTGCACTCTCCCTCAAGGTACGGCCACGGCTGATTTGTCCGCCAATGTCGTCGTCGTCTTCGTCGTGCATTTGATGACGCATTGCTGCGAGCCGCTCTTTATGCCGCAGATCCGAATGTCTGCGACGTCCACGACTAACAACTCCATGGAATCCAGAGGACAACCAGCAGGGAGACTACGGGGAATTCAGCCACAGCGCGACCCTCGCAGGGCAAGTGAGCTGGACTGCGAGTCGATAAGTACGTTGTTCTGCTTTGAGACACTAATGGCCCGCCACGACTTCTTATTCCGTGGACGAAGTCACACTTCTCTGTCAACTTGGGTAAGCGACTCAACGCGAAACAGAAGTAAATAATTGAAAGGAAGGCTTTGATAGCTAAACACTCGCGGGGTATTTGCACTACTTGTGACTTGTGCGCCAAACTAGGTCAGCAATTTCTGCGTCGCGGTCTGCGCTCTGTACAAGGTGTCTGCGACGTAAGATGTGCCGTGCAGTGGAACATCTGAAGTCGGTCAGTGATGTTACACATTGACGTGTTCATCGACCAGTCCTGATTGCAGGTTGGGACAGGAGTGAACCCTTTTGACATTTAGATATTTCATAAAACCATCAGGGTCGGCCTCATAAAGATGACCAACCACAATGAAGAAACATCATTGGATTGTCTTACCTGACTTCTCTACCGTTATCAGCCAGCTAAACTTCAACCTTAGAGTAGTTCTACCTAGTTACCTGTATCACACACTAGACTGAGTTGAGGTGGTGCCAGTAGAGCTGAGAATTCATGCAGTGACATTTTAGTACCACTCGTCTTTTGAGATTCGTGGATGAAAAGTTATCGTGTAGGCCGAAGAGTGTAAACATTACCCACGCGTGAGTAGACCCTGCTTCCTGTTCAAAAAATGTTTCTGTCATTGAGCTTCAAGGTACCCAACGTTTTTGCCAACATCTCGCGTGCACATTTACTGACCTAGAGCGGGAAGTGGAGTGTGACTATGCGCGTAAACACTTTCATTCTTGACATATACAGTGCGTTACGTAACTCACGAAGTGTGTCGAAATTTACGAATGATTCCCAATCACTCGCAAACTGACACCACTTCATGAGTACAATGTCTGTATTAATTAAGTAAAAGTTTAAAAGATTTAAAAGCATAAAAGAAATCATAAAGGCAGTGTTGCCTTGTTTAGAAATGCCGATTTTTTAGAACAGCGCAATATCCCGAAAACGTCGAATTTTCCGATGGGTTTTCATTATTGCCGACGTTTCCGTCGCCCTCATAGGCGCCGATTTCCTAGCTCACTTCAACCTGCTAGTCGATTTGAGGAATCGCCGACTCGTTGACTGCATCACCGACCTTCATGCCCGATGTCAATCCGATGTGAACCCCTGCGTCAACCCTCTCACTGTTATGCCCATCTCTGACTGTCCTTTCCACTCACTCCTCAGGCAGTTTCTCCGCCTGACCAACCCGTCATTTCGTGAAGTGGACATCAAACACACAGTCACTCACCACATTTTCACTACCGGACCTCCCAAATCTTGCCGATCACGTCGTCTTGCTCCGGACCGTTTGAAGATCGCCAAGGCAGAGTTCGATCACATGCTTGAGCTCGGCATCATCCGACAGTCCGACAGCTGCTGGGCATCACCCCTCCACTTTGTCCCCAAGAAGAACGGCGACTGGCGACCGTGTGGTGACTATCGGGCGTTGAACTCAGCGACGGTCCCCGATCAGTATCCCGTCCCGCACATCCAAGACTTCACTCTTTTGCTACATGGTAAGCGAATATTCTCTAAGATCGACCTTGTGCGCGCCTACCACCAAATCCCGATCGAAGCCATTGATGTTCCGAAAACTGCAGTGACCACTCCTTTTGGGTTATTCGAGTTCACTCGTATGCCCTTTGGTCTGAGGAACGCCACTCAAACCTTTCAGCGATTCATTGATCAGGTTCTGCGAGGTCTCGACTTCGTCTACGCCTACATTGATGATTTGCTGGTGGCTAGTTCTGACGCTGCTGAACACGAGATTCATCTTCGACAGCTCTTCGAACGGCTCGACTCCTACGGCGTTATCATCAATGCCGCCAAATGTGAGTTTGGAGTCCCCAGTCTTATCTTTCTTGGTCACGAAGTGAACTCAGATGGGATAAAGCCCGTCCCGGAAAAAGTTTCGGCCATATCAACGTTCCCCGTCCCGACAACCATCAGCCAACTACGCCGATTCTTGGGGATGGTGAACTACTATCACCGTTTTCTTCCCCATGGTGCCACCATACTGCAGCCTCTCAACAGCTTGCTGACCCACTCCAAGAAGACACTAGTGATGACCGAGGAGGCCGTCAGGTCCTTCAATGACGTCAAGGCCGCACTTGCGGACGCAACATTGCTTGCCCATCCTCGCTCAGATGCCCAACTAACTCTCATGACAGATGCTTCCAGCACTGCCGTTGGTGCGTCACTTCAGGAAACTGTTAGTGGTGTTCTACAGCCTTTGGCTTTCTTCTCGAAGTAGCTCAGCCCAGCAGAGACCCGCTACAGTGTCTTCGGCCGCGAACTCCTTGCCGTCTATCTATCCATCCGGCACTTCCGCCATTTCCTCGAGGGCCGTGAATTTGTTGTTCTAACAGATCACAAGCCACTAGTTTTTGCACTGAGGGCCTCTCCCGATCGCTACTCGCCCCGTGAAATTCGTCATCTCGACTTCATCTCACAGTTTTCCTGCGACATCCAACATGTCCACGGTAAGGAAAATGTGGTCGCTGATGCTCTTTCAAGAATCGAGATGGCTTCCATCACAACAGACGCCATAGACTTCACGCTCATGGCTGAGGCTCAACGATCGGATGGCGAACTTCCCCAATACCGCCACGAGAACTCTTCTTTACGCCTTCAAGATGTCCCCCTTCCCACTGGCACTGGCACCATCACGTGTGACCTTTCTACCGGACACGAACGTCCTTTTGTCCCTGCAACTTTACGACGTTACGTGTTCAACGCCCTTCACAATCTATCCCACCCTGGAGCCCGGGCGACGGTGAAACTCATCACTGACCGATTCGTCTGGCCCAACATCAACGGGATGTACGGCGTTGGACCCGCCCCTGTCTACCATGTCAACGAGCCAAAACGCATCGGCATACTATTACTCCGCCAGGAATTTTCGCCACCCCTGATGGACGCTTCAGTCCTGTGCATATTGACCTGGTAGGTCCGCTGCCACCATCTAACGGTTCTACCTATATGCTGACATGTATTGATCACCTTACTCGGTGGCCAGTTGCTGTGCCCATTCCGGACATCAGTGCCGAAACCGTAGCAAGAGCTTTCTTGACTCATTGGGTGTCCAATTTTGGAGTTCCTGCGACTGTCACCACTGACCGCGGATCCCAATTTGAGTCCACGCTGTTTCGCGAACTCACATCCCTTCTCGGTACCAACCGAATCCGAACAACAGCGTACCACCCTCAAGCAAATGGTCTCGTCGAACGCTTCCATCGACAGCTCAAGACTTCCCTTATGTCCCAGCCTGATCCTTCCCGATGGTCTGATCACCTTCCCCTGGTGCTGTTGTCCCTCCGTTCCACTCTCAAGGCCGACATCGGTTGCACTGCAGCTGATCTTGTCTACGGAACCTCCCTACGACTGCCCGGTGAGTTAATTTCTCCTTCGAACACGCTAACGTTTTTTGAACCTTGCAGTTATGTGAAGCGACTACGTAGTGCCATGCGCAATCTCCGCGCAACGCCCCCTCGAGCGTCACCGGCCAATTCCTTCATCCCACCCGACCTGGATAAGTGCGATTTCGTCTGGGTTCGGCATGACGCTGTCCGACGGCCACTCCAACCACCCTATGACGGGCCGTATAAAGTCCTTCGCCGATGTTGTCATCGACCGCAACGGCAAGACCGACACAGTCAGCATTGATCGCGTCAAGCCGGCCTACATCGACGACAGTGACCATTCCTCACCTCAACAACGCACCCCGCCTCAGAAAGTGCGGCCTCCTCCACCTACTGGCGACAGCCCGCCTCCGGTTCGCCGCACACGATCTGGTCGCCACGTCCACTGGCCCGACAGGTTTGTGGCTGGCTGGCGTGTCGACACCTTCACTTTGTTTGGTGTCGGGGGGGGGGGGAGTTGTAGCAGCTGCTCCAGTCCGCCTTTTCTCCGGCTCCGTTTTGTTGAACAATGGGCGCGACAGCTGTTGACACACAGCCACCCCCGCCGGCTAACACTCAGACACCCCCGGTCCAACTTCAGTGACTGTCGGCTGACCTCACAAACTTTCATCACTCCACGCGCGTCTAACGCCCTGGCCTGATACCCGTGAGGCATTTTGTGCATGCAGCCCTTATTCCTCCCCTAATTTGTCCAATCACACGACCACCACGCAGACAGTCACCCCCTTCTGCTAACTTAGACACACACACTCGCGTTAACAAGACACATCGTGACTGACGCTCTCCATGAACGGACGCTTTTCTCTGTTGCAATCAAACCGCCAACTTACGGCAACCTGCCCTGTGTACAGAATAAACTATTCCTCACAGCTCCCTGATTTCTGACAGTAGACGAAACGAACTTATTGTGCGTGGTTTAAGTTGATCTCACATCCTTGACCGCCACAGACTTAAACTCGTTTCAGTGGATCTTTGAGCACTTTGGGTCAAACGCTCTATCTACGGTAGAGTCCGCTGGTGTGTTCCTATCGCGGGACGGGAATGGGAGTCACGGTTTTGTACTGGAGCTCCAGCTCTTGAACCCATCCCACCTGTTACATAACGAGGGTCATTTCTCCGCTGGTAACTGCTGCTGTCACAGATTACAGACACTAAATTTGCAATTTCTGGCTTCTTTGCAATAATTAATTGTCATATCAATGCTAAGCGAAGCCGTGTAATTAACAAGGCATTTTAGAAAACTTTTGAAGGTTTTAACTAAAGTTAGGTTGCCGAAAAGACTGGATAAGTATCGAGCTGTAGGCTCTGTCCTTCGGACCGTTCCACCGACTTCGAGCCTTTTCCGTCGGATTTGACAATCGCCGTGAGGCGTAGCCAATGATTAGTGTTCGATTTACCAAACAACCTGCGGCCTTGACAGTTGTTCTGGAAATCAAGCTACTATGAACCTAAATGAAGTCGTTGTCCGTAGCTAACAAAACTGTTAAGGGTTAACTGAGCGTGGAAGATATTCCAGCAGTCTCGCAGTAGACAGGACCCGCTCTGGCATAGAGTCCGCTTCTTGAGATGTCTAATGGCTACCCGGAGCGACAGCTGGTATCGTCTTTCTGTGAAGGTTGGGCTCGAAACAAGCAGTAGGTCAATAAACATCATAAGGCTTCAAACACAGCGTTAGGCACCCTAAATCCCAGTTGAGGACTGGGGAAAGCAGCTCGCACCTAATTCCTAAATGAGCGTGATCAGGTATCGAACACTTCTGCTACGGTGTTCAGGGGTACCAACATGTTTTCACATCCATCGTTGGTCCTTTTAAATAAAACTGAGCATCGGAGCCGGTCGCACTTCGGTTGCGTCGTTCAGAACATGTGAGTATCTCTCTGGCAACATAAGCAATCGACCTTAAACATTTCTAAACTAATGCTGAGGTTTCAGAAGATTCGGTGAGCCAGTCGATACAAAGGCACCCATATTCTACAACTGTTGACAAAGGTTGCATGTCATATCTGCGTCGCATTTTCTATGCAGTGTTCTTCGCATCAGTCGAGCATAAAGCATTCTGCCAGGCACTAAGATCAATCGGGTCTATGCGAGGGTGTTTTTAGTGTCCTGGACTGCATAGAGGCAAGTCCTCTTCGTCTAGGTGAGAAATTAATGCGAATACCAGGCACAACTGCCTCGCGCCACGTGATAGTAGGCTGCAACAAGGCGGTAGAGAAAGGATCCCGGTGCGTACCTGGATCTCGTTTTTTTGCCCGCACCAGCTTGAATTATATTCTTTTAGATCCTAGGCACAACCTACATGCAGCGAGCTTCAGGCAACCTTTCTGACGAAAGTTCATAAGCGTACATGAGCGTCTGAGATTAACATCGAGGTTTATGCATTAGTACAAGTAACGTTGAAAAGGACTGAGAGAGGCTGCCGGGGTAAGGTCTAGAAATACGCAAGTGGAATTAGGACTGACGTCAAGTTAAGACGTCAACTTGAGTCGTACGCAAGAATGTCTTCAGAAAAGTATCCCCTCATGGATTTAACCTCCAACATTCCTGGCAGTTTTAGGTTCCCCTTCATAGTCAAATCGAAATCCGAATATTTGTGAAGTAACTAAGTGATTAAGAAGCATATGGGAACCGTGCAAAATTGGGAGCAAGGTAGGTTTGTTTCAGTGGACACATTAGTCTTAGTTCAGCAGCATAAAAAAATCTCAACCAAACTGGCATTGAATACTACCACCACCCGAGACTTCATCAGGCTTTTAAGTTGTGTATGGAAGGCTAGTCAACCGCGCTTAATGTTTCAAGGGCACAGAATAAGTTCATCGGCGTACAGAAAATATTATAGCCGAATTTGCCATCAGAAAGATTCCCATTATAAAACCAGACCACATTTCTCCACCATAGAGCAGAAGCAGACTGTAAAGCCGTTCTTTCTCATTACTGTACAGTAGAAAACACCTCAGTAATTTTCAGTGTTTCCAAGTAAACGGGACGAGGTTATCAGCATATTGAAATTGTCACAGAAAGTGTTTTACCGGTAAGATTTTTACTAATCTATTATGATCCATACGTGATTTTGGCAGTCGCAGGTAGCGGAAGCATGAAGTTGGCCCTGTTAACTGTAAATATGGGTAACGATATAATATATGCGTGAGGTAGGGAAAGACTGTGAAGAACTGCCAACTTTATTTTTCAAATTAGCTGTTTTCCTGCAGAGTTTTTGGTTGTCTCTTTGTCAGCAAGATAACATTCGATTATCTGTACCCCGCCCCTCCCTCCCCTTCCCCTCCCCCCGAGGTGCGGATACTGCTACAATGTCTATATCGTGTCATCGTTCTGCGCAATCTACACGTATTTCTCTAGTAAGCTGAAAGCTCATTTTTTAAAAAGGGTTCGGTGCGGGGAGCAGTTAGGCCGTAAATAATTCTCGAAATAAGGGTAGATGGAATGCATACGTCTGCCAGTAAAGCATGAGTGTCAAAACACTGATGAATTTATTAAACAACAGTTGGCATTTTCTTACCACGAGCATATACTTAACCTCAGGTTAGCAAACGTAAGATATCCGTGCCAACAATCTGAGGGGAGGGAAGTGCTCACTGGATCCGCCTACATGAGCACAAACTGGCAACTCGGTGACTAAACCTAAACTCACACCGGAGAGACTGGCTACAGTCGCCTACGCCGAAAACAAAACAGGCCGAGAATTGACTGAAACCTGGGCCTCGGATGAGAACTCGGTCAATCGATTTATCGATCTGGCGCCGGCGTACAGAGCCCTTCGTAGTCACCTCCAGTAGTGTGACGTCGGTCGATGATTGGGCCTTCGTGCCTTATAACTGCCGCCTGTCCTATTTCTGCCATTACCTCTGACGATGGACTCCTTTACGAGTCTGAAAGCTAACGATAATAAACGAAGTGTTTCGGGGCTCGACTCTTCTTCACTTCTTCCCTTAGACTGGCTACAGTTTTGACTTTCAAGGAGCAGCCGTCTTAGGCCGGGGCACCTCAGGGACAGAAGGTCTCATATTTGAGGCTTTTTACTCAGATGCTAACTCCATAAACAGGCATCTAGACCTTCCTGCGACCTAGAAAGTCCTGCGTCACTACCTACGCCATGACGAGGACAAGACAGTCATAGGGAGCTTAAGAATACTGAGCAAGCACGGCCCATCGATCAATTTGCACATGAGGCTACCAACACTCACAAGCGACGTCCAGTAGGCCAAGGCGGCGAAGGAAGAAAAAACCGTTTAGCCAAGGGCCAACTAATTCGGTTGTGTATTCAAAATTCTGATCGATTTTTGCATTAGACACTTTGATAATGGAGAGCCGTTCAAATTCTTCGAAACTTCAGCCGAACACTCCTCACCATCCGGTGAGCACTTCCCTTTCCTCGGATACACTGCTCCCTTGTCGTGGCACAACAATCTTAAGCGGAGTGAGGATTTTATTGCCCTGCACACGGCAAGGAAAGGTTTCTTTTTTGAAAAAATAGGCCACAAAAAGCACATGCAAGCATAGTAAATACGAG